CCCGGAATCGAACCCGGGACCTTTGAATGAGAGGCCAACACCTTAACCTCTAGGCCACGAGAGCCCCCTAATTGATATGTTTACATTGCTGAGCTGGTTGGTGGGGTTGAAGTAGTAGCCAAGTTATGAAATGTTGCAAGTTGTGTCATTTACAGGGCTAAAACATTTGCCATCATTTTGTCTGTGACTGTATGTGCCTTTTTGGGGTTTGTTTCTTTGCTCAGGGGGAAAAAGTGTTTTACTTGGTGCAGCCAACACAAACCAATCTGATGCTGTACGAGAGATGGTTGTCCTCCTCCAACCAGAGTGAGATGTTCTTTGGGGATCAGGTAGGTGCTCACTTGTTGGTTTTTTTGTGTTGTTTTTTTCCCCCGTGTCCTGATTTTGGTGCCCGTTTTTGTTGTTTACGTTAAAAAGAAAGCAATGGTGCAGATTGTTCTATGAAAGGGGAATTGTTGAGTCGGTAATGATGATGGTGATGATGATAATGATGATGATGATGATGATGATGATAGGTAGGTGCTCAGTTGTTTTGTTGTGAGGTGTCTCCAGATAGTTGGAGAAATAATGATTTATTTCCATGTGAAATGAATGTTTGTCTCATAAACTGCAGGCCTTTCTTCCTAAAAGAATGGGCTGTAATAATACTTATTGTGGAAGGAATAGCTCTACTGTATTCCTCTTGCGCTATGGTAAAAGATCTATTTGAGACTCACTGCTTTTCACACAAGTGACTTCTGGTCTGAATTTTTGTGTCGTTTTTGTCCTTCGGGTTTATTATAGACCCTGATTACTTGTTGCTCGAAAGAAGGGTCGCATCCAGGTTTGAGCCAGAAAAATAAATTATGTGAAATGTGAATATATTGTGTCTGTGGAATTTTACATTTTTACGTCAATTTGCTTTGCTCTAATAAAGGCTGTGACTGTTGATGCTTACGCCATTCTATCAAAAAGTCCCACCATGTTAATAAAATTTGTGCTTTCTTTACTTTTGCTGTGTTTCATCCCGACTTGGCCAGGTGGACGACTGTTATCGAATGGTTGTGAAACAAGGGCACACACTGTTTATTCCCACTGGATGGATCCATGCTGTGCTCACCCCGATAGATTCTCTGGTGTTTGGAGGCAATTTCCTTCATCATTATAACATTGCCTTGCAGCTACAGTAAGTCGGTGATGTTTGTTTGTCATTGGATTGGCTTTTCTGAGTAGTTTAAGAGATGTGCATTCTTACTCAACCCCCCGGGGCGGTGCCACTGACTAAAGTGTCTTTAGGCCATTCCCAAAGGGGGGGGACATTTCTCATTCTAATACACAGTAGAATTGTAAATGGGCTGATCCAACAATCTCATGCTCATAACTATGCCTGAACTACAACAGGGAACTGCTGCGTTTTCTTTCCTAATCCGTACTGTCGTCATTTTCCTTTACTTCTTTTGTATGTTTGTGACATTCTTCTGACCCGCTATTTCCGGGGTGCCTTGATAGTCGAAACAGACTTTGTGCTGTTGAAGCTAGAAAAGTGAGCAGAGTAAGTCTGATTCCCTGTAAAGACTTCTCTGTTGACATCCACCCCTTGGCGCTCATATGACCTTATGCAGTTGCGAGCGCCGTAAAACCTCTACTCAAACAAAATTCTTGCGCACATGCTCAAACATCCAGGGACGTGCATACTCACAAACACTTGCAAGCTTGCATTCCTAAATTCGCATTTACACGGCCTGGTACTCATCTTGATGCTCTCATACACACACACACATTCACCAGGAATCATAGTTTTCCGCAGATCCGTGATTTTCCGTGGTTGCGAAAACTTCTCAAAATCCTCCCCCCCCCTCTCCGCAACCTTGGTCCTGAGGGGCCCCCGCGATCCGCGGATTCGACAAAGCTCGGCCTATCGTAGACCGGATGTAAATGAGGCGGCTCAGGGAAAAAGAAGGTCACGAACAGTAAAGAAAACATGATTCTCCTTTGATTTGGTTTACTTAGCATTTTCAAATTGTGGTGGAGGGGGGGGGGGGGTGTTACACAATATTTAGGTTAGTCTATCGGATCGACCATCAAAGTCAGGGGTTGGCGAAAAATTTCACTGTAATCCCTGATTAACTCTCGTACATACACACTCACATGTACAGATTCTTACTTGTCTTTTTTTTTTCCGAGAAGCTGACAAATCTGTTTTCTCATAAGCTCTGCGTCATACATATATTTATTGTGCTTTTTTTGAAAACATTCTAAAAATATGTGCAAGCTCAAATGTAAGATGTGTTGCGAAAATTTCCCCTTTTATTAGCAATGTATAATTTAGAAAAATATCCGTTTAGCATAAATGCTGCAGAATGGTAGATTGAAAAGGTCAACATTGAAATATTTCATTTTCTATCTGATTTGCTGTGTTTATCAGTGGTAAACATCCACTACCTTGTGATTTTTATGGATGTTTTAAAAGATTGCCATAGTTACTGTTTGTTCTGTTTAGAAAGATTGCCATAGTTACTGTTTGTTCTGTATAGAAATGAGTTCCCGTTTGCGGGCTGACTTGTTGTCTTTTACTGAATGGACGTAAAACCTTGCCCCTTTAAAAAACAAATTGTGTTTGTAAAAAGTTTGTGTCTCTGATAAAACATACCTGTTCGGAAAAGTAAAAAGTCGTATGTTTTAGGAATTTAAGAATCCCTGAGACAGAGGAAAATGTTTTTAAAGGGCTTTGTATAATTATTAGATAAGCTGAAAATTGTGTATGAAGATGAATACTTTATAGTTTCACAACTAAGGAAGCCATTGGCTTTTGAAGTCACAAGGGTAAATTGTGATCTAAAACAAGACTTGTCCCAAATGGATAGGGAATATACATCAAATTCAGTTTATTTTGACCTCAGATCATCCAAATGCGTAGACTGACTTGTATTTGAAAGATGCATGGATGCAGCTTCCCAAAGTTTGTCATGAAGTGAAAGGGGCCTGAAAATATTATGGAATTTTGCTCCTATATATTAGCTAGGAAAACTTTCTCCTAGATCGTATTTAGTTATACTTGTTTTGATGCGGTCATTTATGTCAATGCCTTCATTCATGTATTGACTTTTGAAGCGTTGAGAAGAGGAATTTCAGAGGCTTTTTTGTCACGTCATTTGTTCTCTTTTCAGGTGCTATGAAATTGAACGTCAAGTAAAGACCCCTGAAAAATATTTGTTCCCATCCTACGAAACAATGAACTGGTATGCTGCTAAAAACATCCTGGATATCATTAAAGGTATGTATGCTCTTTGCATGGAATTCTTGTCTCTTTTTGTCCTCATTACACCTGTCTTTTTGGATGTCTCCTTTCACCTCTTCTCCTTCTCTCAAGCAATGTTCTGTTGTCTGCTTTCGTCTCCACTTTCTGCCCCCACCCCCTCACCTCCTTTGCTACTGACTGAAGTAGTCTTTAGGTCTTTCTGAAAGGGGGGATATTAACATATTCTTATGCACAGTAGAGTTGTAAATGGGCTGATTTATCATGTCATGCTCATACTGTGCCAGAACAACATACAGGGAACTGCTGCTTTTTCTTTCTTCATCCTTACTTAAATTACTGTCATCATTTTTTACCTCTACTTCTTTTGTATGTTTGTCACTCTCTTGTGAACTGCTATTTACGGGGTGCCTTGATAGTCAAAGCAGACCTTGTGCTGTTGAGGCTAGAGAGGTGAGCAGAGTAATCCTGATTCCCCGTTTGGACTTCTCTGTTGACAGCCACCCCATGGCACTCAAATGATTTTATGCAGTTGCGAGTGCCGTAAAACCTTACTAAAACATAAAAACTCAGCACTCTCCATGAAAATGTCTTTTCACATAACACGTCTTTTTTTCAGTAGCTGAATTATAGCATTCTTCAGGGCTCTGAGTGCCAGTGGTTGTGGTGGAGTGGTAAGGTGCATCGTTTTTACATGCGGAAGGGATGAATTTGATTCCCTAGTGCAGAGAATTTTAACAGCTACAATTAATCAGTCTTTTCTTGACAGCTGTGTGGTGTATGCCCCCTTGACCGCTGCCCCCTGCTCCCAGCACTTAATTAAAGACATTTAACTTCCTGAGACCTAATAAGTCTTACCACCACTCTAGACTTCCACCC